CCTTTGCTGCTCTCCTGCATCGAAGTGAAGGACGCCAGGCGCCCCCACGCAATGCAGAGACGTCACGAGGGGTGGACAGGCGTATGATGCTACGCTCCCCGCTCGCCGTCCGTTGCAGTCGAGGCATAGCGCCTTGGCCCCGGTGGCTACGCTGAGGCGAATCGAATTGGCGCACGAAACGGACAAAAGGAGCAACCAGAGCAGAGAATGGTGGCAAGGAAGCTGCGGATCAGCACGTCGTCATCGTCGTCGAAACGCAAGACACCCGCCATCGCCACCCTCACTGCGGCGGAACCGAAACTGAACATTCTTGTGGGGAAGATGAAGCCGAAGAGCCTCACGGGACCGAAGAGCAGGATTGTGTGCTCTGACACGATCAGTAATACGGACTCTTCATCAGACGGCGACGACGCTCCTGTACCTGCCTCCACTCGCCGAAGGCCAGCTCGAGCGCCACAATTGGAGGAGTGGGAGGATTCAAATGCGTCTGTCCATCGTCGTAAACCGATCAAACGCTCTGCGCCACCTGCCGACACAGGCGACGACGACGACGAACGCGACCACACTACCGTCCCCTCATGCTCAACATCCTCTCGTGTACTACACTGAGAAGATAGCTTCCAGGCTCCTCGTCGTGGCAAACCTCTCAGAAGCCCCACCGCCTCCAGATACCGAGAACGATTAGGACGCCGAATCTACCCATGCAGTACGCGCCACGAGAGGCACCGGATTTGGATATTGAGGTCGTCGATGATGATGACGGCGCCGCGTACTTGGTGTTGTCGGAGGGCTTTGGTAGCAGAGGGGTGATGACTTTGGTACTGCAGATGTCGAGGGAGCTCTGTGCGCTTGTGAAGCGTGAGAGCGCGCGAAAGGCGTCGATCGCTGCCACGCCGACGTCTTTGGTCGTAGCCGGAGTGTCGAACAAAGACGCACCCGAATAGTCGCCCGTCGCAGCCATACCTGATGTCGTCGACTTCTGGTAAACTGCATCCTCGTCCTGTCGTTCACAAACACGCCGAAGTAGACGCCACCAAACCTGTTGTACTTGAGGTCTCGTCTAGCAAACCACATACTTGCCCCGTCGTCCACAAACACGCCGAAACCGACACGCCCGCTTCCTCCCTCGACCGTGTCGAGCTCCAGACCGCGCCCAATGAACATCAGCGTATAAAGGAGCTTTGTGAATTCTCTGAATGCCGCCTTAGCCGTGAACGCGCACATCAAGAGCGACACGAACAAGAACGATATCCGGCTTCAGCCTCTGCACAAGAAAAAGGGCAAAGACGTCGCACAACTAAGCTCGGTCAACCCTTGTGGAGTGTTGCTGCTGGTAGGGTGGGCAGCGTCGCCCCTAGGAGGGCAAGAAGGACGGGAACAGACGAGCCGAGAGCTTCGCGCGTGGACGGGAGCGAGAGGGTAGTGTGGCACGCGGATGTGCAAGCAGCGTGGCTCGCCGACGCGGGGAGCCGCGTCATATCGATCCGCATAGGATCCGTCGCGCCATGGACGAAAGATACGCAAAGGCGCCCACACGACGGAGCTGAGAGCGCGCCGAAGAAGAGGAAAGCGCGCGGGTATGTGGAGGAGGTTTTGTCGGCGGCTGGCCGGTTGGGCCCGAAGGTTCATGCGCATCTGAACGCGGTCGCTGCGTCGTCGAAGATAAAGAAAGCTCAAGCTGGTCCTAGGCGTGACCTTCGAAGAACGCGCAGGCTGGTCCATCAAGGCTAAAGCAGGCGGCGGGTCCAGGCATCTCTCTAGCCGATTCTACCGCCGCAGTAGACGAACTTCTTATGGAGGACGAGGCCTACAAACGCGAGGACTCACAGTGCCCACTGACAGTGCCCGAGGATAGTGCACAGGATCTCGCGTGCGCACAGCGGGTTTTGAGGTACCTCAACGTCACCATGTACTAGAGAAGGCCAAGGCGAAGGCGGCGGAGCTGAAGTTGTGAGATCGGGAGGCGGCGGAGGGAGTTGGAAGGGTGATCAGTCGGGCGGCGGATCCGGGAAGAGGAGGGGAAGCAGAGGGATGATCAGGCTGGGAAGGGTGGAGGAGGGATGGGAAATGTGAAGCAACACGCGAATGTACGATGCCAGGGTGACGATAGCCGGGCACAGTCTGCATACGCATACGCCGTGTCAACCAGAACCTATGAACGCCGCGAACAGCGATATCGCCGATGCATTCCAGCCACATGCCCCTCACGCCTGCTGGCCCTGATCCCAATCCTTCGGAAGTGCAACATCTCTTACACGCCATGGTGTATAGCACGCACCATTCATGCCAGGCATCGACGTTCCTAGCATCTATGCTTACAAACCCGCCAGGAAGCAGGTCAATGATAATCTGGTTGATCTCTGAATGTCGTTTGCTGATCATGATCGTAGAATGGACGCGTCGTCAGTGTACCGGGAAACGGCCTGAACGTTGATCAGCATCGGCTCCGCGCAATCAGTCTTGAGGTGTTCGCAAAGTCTGAATCCCCTCTACCGCCGGGCTCGCCTCGAGGATGGTGTAGAGTGCAGATATGTTTTCCTGCAAACTTGTCAGCCGTGACCGGGCCGATCTGTACGTTCGCGAGGTTTCGAAGGCTTCCGTCCTTCTCACATTACACGCAGGTGCAAAAGGGCGCACTCGTCTCTTGACTGTGGAGCTTCAACCGTTTGTTGGTTCTGGCGGAACAGGCGGTTCGGAGCGGGCCTACACGACTGTAAAGAAACCCATCCGGCTACTGCGCATCGATACAGCCTCGAAGAGGCTGATCAATGTTTTCAATACGTTCGCCATCCTAACCCTAACCCGACATATTCGCCACGCGTCTCACGCGACTCGTGCACTCTTCAACTCTTGCCTCCTACGTCCAGTACGCTGACTCCGTCGTCAATCAACCCTGAGAAACCCAGCTTCCTGAGCTCGGGTCGTTGGCCATGACCGGACTGGAAGATTATGCTCTATGATGCATGTAGCTTTCATCTACGGCTTCTCGTGGCAATATCGGAGACGCTCGGAGCTCATCTCGTCTTGCTGATGTGACCTTTCGTGCTTCGCGAGTACTCCGAGTATCCGGACTGCTTAATCAGAAGCATAAGCGCTGTGACGCCTGGTTGCTACGTCTGACTACATATAGGGCGCCTATCATCTTGAGCGCGGCCTTCACATACCGTTTCTATACACGTCGACTCTACTACCACCCTCGCAAGTCTCAACATGGCCACTCCGAAGACCTGGAAGTCCCCTCTTACTGGCTACGAGAACGCTGAACCTCTCCCAGACACTCGCCACGAGGACGGCAAGTCCTTCAACCCTCCTGCGCCGCTTTCGAAGGCGTACGAATCCGTCACCGAACCGACCCTACCGATGTCTAAGAACGGATTCGCCTTCCACAGTGCGTGCGATACCGCTGTCCTCTGTCTTTCGAAAAGCCTAGATTGATTGATTCCTGTCAGTCTACTTCATGCAGAGCAAGCCGTCAGAAGTCAAGTACGCTCACGAGCTCCATGAGCGTATTCGGCGCGAATTCCCGGAGTTAAGGATCTACCAAGTCTGGGAGAAGCCCGTCGGCACATAAGCATACCATCCTCGTCTTAACAGGCGTGATCTCAGCGTCAAACATCTGCAGGTCCTCACCCCGTGGGCATGCTCGAAGTGAACGCCTTCAATCCACAGCAGCTAGGCGCGTTCTTCGCATGGATGGTCATCTGGCGCGGTCTGCTCTCGTGAGTGCACTCGTTGTCGTGTAATGACAGCACTGGGCACCGTCTGATCGAATGACAGGGTTCTCGTTCATCCCAACTCGGATGATGAGTTCGCAGACCATACTACTGAGCATGTGACGTGGATGGGGAGGCATATCTGGCTCAGTCGTCCCTTTTGTATTGTTCCTAATGCGATGCTCGGATAGTCGGGACGCATGAATCTCCCTTAACACGGTACCGCACGTAATTACGACGCTGAACATGACTCGTGTGCTTCATACAGACTACATCGGTACATCGTCACTGTAGACCTGAGAGGGGTCGTCGCAGAGCACTACATTGGTCATTCCCGCCGCGCCCCAGCCATCTCATCTTTCACCGGCATACTCAAGATCAGCCCTTACATGCTGGGTTCATGCATGAGAGCTCTACGCGAGCTATTCGGGCAATCTGGTTCTTGCACGCTCGACTCCACTATGCCGCGAAAAACGCGCTCATCGATGATATGGTTGCCGCTAAGCGCTGAGCACCGCTACTTCGGCAATATATTTGATACTCCATCACTTGGCGGCGGCACATGCTTGGGTCTTCATGACCGTGTGAGTGGTGGAGACGCTGAACTCGGATGAGTCCGGAAGACTACGAGGCTACGCAGAAGCTTATGCTTGACGACGCTTTATCGCGGTATTTACGCACACCACGGTTGCGAACTGACTGTTCTGCGCCTTCACGCCCAAGAATCGCCGGGTCTACTCACTTCTGAAGACTTCCCGTACTTACTGAGGCTCGCCGTCTAGTTGATATAGTAGTGGACACTAGTGCATTCGCAATCTCGCTGTCTCGGTCAATTTCTCCTTGAACCATTTCTTTGCTGTATAGTGATCTCTTTATGGACTTCATCCCAGGACGCTACAGTTTAGGCCATCGTTCTGATTCTCCTCGCGACACAATGTTAATGCCACAGACGGCCGATATATCCCCTTCTTCCTCCTTCTCTGAGTGTATACATGTCTGCGACGATATGAAACCAGCTCTGAAGACTCACACGTACGCATATCAGACAATACCCCAGATGTGTGGCATATAGACAAGTCAACGATCGTAATCCCGGGAACTACCCCGGAATTAGGCAATCAAATAAATCTCACGTGACCGTGTCGCCGCCTTTTGACGTGGATACTCAGTGGATGCCCGTCATCAACTCTTTACTTCTCTGCGTTCATGTGTCTGAATCGTCATCAGCTCTATACGGTGCCCGGCGTCAAACCTCTCCTTGCTGGGGAGAGGTACTGCGACTACATATACGAGTACGTGGCAGTGTCATGTCTCCGTAGTCCCTATCTAAATTATTCCCAATGTACAGTTTCTCCGCAGGCCCGCACGAATGCACCGGCGTGGTCCGGCGTCAACGCCAGTCGCTGGCCGTTCGAACCAATATCACCTCCACTAGGAGCCTCAATGCCGCCTCCGACGATGTGCATACGGGACAGGAGGGTTGATGATGGATAAGAATACTACCAGGATATGGATAGCTCTTTCGCGCATGTGGCGAGTCTATATCTTACCTCACTGCATGTATCCTTATCAGGCGAGCGGCGTATCCCTGTTGCGTCATGTTTTGGTGCATAGCGACATGGGCCTCAAATTGTTGTTTGCCTATCCGGTCTCACCGGCGGTACTTTGTGACCCACGGGTCTACGATGCTTGCGTGCTATCTTGATACTACAGCCGCATCATGACGCGCTTCATGTCAGGCCTGTTGGCCTAGGAATCTCAACATATGGAAGCCGGGATATCTTGACTGACCCGGCTCATTGCGCGAGATGCTCAAGTGCAGTCCACATACCTCCCTCTAGCACGACTTGTTTGCGGGCATACCGGACGCAGACGTCGAAATCGCCGCCAGCTCGCACTTGCAAATGTCATTATAAGGCGAGAGAGCGCCCGTCCCGTTTTAGTCAATGGGATGGGACGGCGGAGGCGTAAGCCATGCTAGACGTGAACCCTCACACATTGGAGGACGGTATATCTGAGTATAGGACGGCGATGACGACGCAAGGCATGTACCTCGTGCTTGCAAGAGGTCTAGATATGTGTACGGACTAGTTGCACACTATCGATCATTGAGCTGGGCGTCGCATTAAGTCAACCCGCTTCTGTCAGAGGTGGAGCGCGTGGTCTTCACACATCTGGCATCTGGACACTGTGTTCGCATAATAGCAGCGTGCGAAGGACATCAGCAGGCGCAGTATTTTTTGGGGGGGCGTCAGCGCGACAACACCCACACATTGCTCTCATGCGCCCAGCGGCCATGAGCTGAATCTCAGCGGCGTATGGAATATTCAAAAGCCGGTCGCCGACTGCATCGGGTGAGCAAATATTGATTAATGCGTAAAGACTAAACTAAACAATGGATCGTGGTATGAGGAGTCGCAATCGTGTCAATCGCTAACCAGCTAGGCAGCGGTCATGACTAGCTCAAGATGGTCAGTATATAGAGCCAGCAGACGTGGTACGGACTTACGGGCGCCTTGATGAGCATGCCTATATAGTTTCTCCATCTGGGCTGGGGCGACTGTTATGCCCAGGCACCTGACAACGAGGGGCTGAACCTGGAATAAGACCACCCACTCCGACAATCGGATGGGCTCCCAGGTCGGAAGGGCAGTCGGATCATTCAGCGTAAGGACCATCACAGTCTCGTTAATGTTCACACGGCTCCTTTCCCACTGAGCGCGGAGATCCGTCATACGAACGAGTTCGTCCTTCCGCCCCACAGTCCAAGATATTGTTATCGGCTGGCATTCACTCTGCCAATTTGCGATTAGTCCTTTGCGCGCGGAGAAAGTAGCGAGAGCGACGAACACGCGAAAATAGGTACACAGTCATCCGACTCATTGGTGGCGCCTCTACGATCTCTATGCTCGGTGTCCGGTGTGGATGAACAGTCTGTGTTGAAGGACGGCGCCCCGCATGGACTAGCGCACTGAGATTCGAAGTCGAGGGGGCTGGGGCCATGCTGTGAGTGGTGGTCGGAGCATGGCGAGTGGCGCGGCGCTGCGTAGGAAGCGCAGATGCGTACGTGCGCCGCACCGTCGATGAATGCTGGCCGACTGGGCTTGTCACAGGAGCGTATGAGGGCAGCGGGGCCTCCAATCGCGCATTGATCTCCCTATTGATCTCGTCCTCGCGCTGCAGAAGTCTCTCCCGTGGAACCTTCAAACTGCGAAGATAGTCCAGCTTCTCCGGCTCCAGTCGATCCGAGGCGTAAACGCAAATCTGACCAGAGCCATAGACATCATGCTCGTATGGATGCAATTCGTCACACTGGCGAAACATGAGGGCGACGCAGTGCGAGACCGACAGGGCTGCCACATACCTTCGCCACATAGCGACCGCGGTCGGGCGTATCATCGAGGTAGCACAACGTGGGCAGAACTTGCGTATGTCCGTTGTTGAAACAATGCTGATGAAGGGGTCGTAGTTGGCTCCAGTTCGGTCCTGTTACGACTGTAGAGAGGTACGTCATAAACAGGTCGACATTTTCCTCCATGTGCGGATACAGCACGCCGGAAGACTCGAGAGTGGGTGGGTCTACGCCTGCCGAACACAGCTCCATTGGTATGACTTATATGGAATCACTCGCAATTGCGCACCACCGGCGCTCCCGGCACTACCGAAGGCGTACCGCCGGTACGTCCTGCAGTACCGAAGACCTATCGCCGGTATTCCTTGCGCTACCGAGCGCAGCGTCCGGTACAGCCGGTGCTAACGATGCTGTGATGCAAGGGAATGCAGATCCAAGCCAAGCGCCAGCAGTTCGACACATGTAGATGTCGGTCTGTCCACGGAATCGTTTAGAGTCGTCTCAAGCGAGGGGATAGATCGTCGGGGTCCCATTTGAACAGACCGTGAATCGGAGAATCGAGTCCGGGGTCCAGCCCGCGCCGCGCACTTGTAGCTCTAATCACAGAAATATCGAGCGAACATCACACTTGATTGTCCGCTGCAACGTGTACTTCGCGAATGTGAGCCGACAAGCAAAGCACATGAGTTTGAAAGAAAGGGATAGAGTTCGTCTGTTCGCTTCAGGTTCACGATTGTTTGACGAGCAACGGATTCATCGTGAAGCGCGACAGACTCACAATCTCCCTCGACACTTCGGCATTATTCATTTGCTAAAGATGATGCGGAAGACAAAACAGCGCCCGCGCAACGGAAAGCGAGAGATGAATTGGTATCACTCCGACCTGTGCGGTCGGAGTCGGTGGAACCGGAGGCCAGCAACCAATCCTCCGTGGCCAACTCAAGCTTTCGATCATACATCACGACCACGAGTACGGCGCGTTGTTCGTTTGGGTTCTGGATCACGAGAAAGACAATATCAGGAATGAGGAGGCCGGGAGCCCTTCACATCTGGACGAATTTGACTCACGAACGTCAGAAAACGAACTGCTGAAGAAGGGCGCGGGCGAGAGAAAGGAGATATATCGAGATATGACCGCGAACGTCGCTCGAAAACTGGAAGACAGAGATAGAGGGAAAGAAGAATAAAGTATGGGAGCAGCGACACTAATGTATCGCAGGCTGAAGAGCAATGAGCGGCAGCGAGCGAAGGAGGTGGATATGCCGACGTTGATCGAACAGGTCAAGCATGGCATTGAAACCGCTATGCAGGAGAGAGGTACACCAAGTTCTCCATGAGTTGAAGAGGACGAAGATGGCGGTGGTGTGTTGAGCCGAACCCGAAGCGCCGCTCTCG